CAATGCAAATCAACATGCAGAAATCTGATTCAGTCACTTGAATAGCTCATATTAACCGAAGAAATGTAAGATTCCTTTTAAAACTTCGTCTTAAATTCCTGTATATCAGCTCAGTTTTCAGTCAGAGCACACCCATCGGTTATCATCACTTCAAAGTCAATAATCAGTTTGGCTCAAATATATTGCATCACCATCACAAGCGTAAGAGTCAGACTTTCTGCTGTATTTTCACTTTGAAATGAGTTGTGATGACATACTCAAATCTTTGCAAAAACTCTTTGCCTTAATAAGCAGCAGTCCCAATGCTCCCCACTTTCATTTGGTCCAATTTAGGAGATTCATGGTGCCATGAGCCGCAAAAACCGAGCAGCTCTTCCTGCAGACTTTCGCAACAGGAAGGGTAAATAATGAAGCATGTCAACAGAGCACTGCTCACTGGGGCTGTAACCTGCGCACGGTATCAACGGTTGTTTTCGCAATCAATCGGAAACCAGCATCCTGATTAAAAAAATAAGCCGCCTGCAACCACAGAATTACTCATTAAAAATGGGATACCTGCTAAATCTGCTGCAATGATTTTAACTGTCTGTGCAGAGCAGCAGTATCTGGTGTGAAGCAAAGTTCAGCAGACCTGATATGTGGGCAGCCTTGAGCTTTAACATGGCAGGGGAATTGAAGAACCAGTCAGTATGGTCATAGGTCTATTTCTGATAAGCCATCTGAATTCTTGGCAGCATGCAGCTCTGCATGGAGACTCAGCGTGACACCCTCAGCCTGAGAAAGCTCCTGATTTTTGTGCCTGTGTTCATGATGTGCTGTTTGGACTGTGGGCCTGAGAACGCCAGGAGCTTATCAAGAATTAACCTTCACGCAGCAGTGATCCTATATGTAAAATAATCTATGTGCAACTTCCATCACCCAGGCTGGTGTTTGAGGGTGGCGTAGGGCTCCATGAAGCCTAACAATACCAAGCTGTGTCTGAGATGGAACTGACACGCTCATCTCTCTGCAAAGCTGGAGCCGTGCTAACATGCCTCAAATACAAAGCAGGTGGTCCCTTACCTGCCACATTAGAGACACGATCTGACACAGTCATGAAAATGGATTAAACTATACGGCCCCTAAGCAGAGTTTTTAAGACCTAGTTTCTGTGTCGACCCAACCCTGAACAGATACCGTAGAAATGTGAGCTTTAGATCATTATCATTGCCTGCTTGTAACTAAAAACCATTACACTCCGTTTTTTTGAAAAGGAATTCCAGTGGGTAGAGATAATTTCACGAGGTGAGGAGCAAGCAAAATAATAAACTCTAATTTTGTGCGCCAGACCGTCTGATCTAGAAATGAGCCAACAGGATACTTTCAAAGAAAAATAAATGATTATGAAATCATGTTACTAACTGTGAACACTCAGTGCTCAGTCATTAAGCTTCAGTAATTTCCCTCAGACATTTTCATCCAGCTTGTTTTCAGGTTAAAATCAAAGCTCACAACTAAAGGACACAAGTGAAAACAAATAAGCATACAGATGTTTTTTTTTCAAAAGTGTGTGAAACTTCACAGTCTATTGACTTAAGGGGAAAGTACGTTTACTTTTGGAGGGTAGTTTAAGGTTAATGCATGAAAGGACATTGGACGTTGGTTCACTTAAGCTCTTTTCTATTTAAAAAGGTGGGTTTCAGTGTTTTCAAGAAGCATTATTAACTCCATGTTCAATGCTATTTCCTCAATATTAACTGTATTATTCTATGTATTACTTTGGCATCTGTAAACAGTCACTGAAATGAAGTTATAGCTAAAAGGTCAGACAGGAAGAATTTAATGTGCATGCAGAATCTGTTGTTTATTTATCATACAATTATGCATTATTCTTTCCCAGGCATGCTCACTCAGATTTCCGGGCTGTATCAGCTGTTCACATCTGTCCAATTACACTGCAACACACACACTCACTGTTAGCCTATCATATTGCTGCACACTTCTTTAATACTCATTTTTTTTCTTTTCCTCAAGTTCACTGGTAAGCAGTTCCATTCCTATTATAACCCAGGCTCTGCAGCTTTGTGAGCTACATAAGCTACGTCATTTTATCCGCCACAGCTGGGGGAGGGGGAAGGGGGGGTATTTACTGCTGCTAAGGGCAGATGCTTGGATTACAGAATCTCTCCGTTGAGTCCAGAGCCTAAAGAGGATTGAATCAGCATTTGAAAAGACTGTCTTATTTTGCACTTGCACTGAGCAAAGCTGGAGCATGGCAGGCCGTAAATAAATCAAATCATCTAGAAATATTTTCATACTCGTTCGTAAAGTATGTTTGTGGAGGTATTCTCTTCTCCCTAAAAAAAACAAACAAACACGTGATCATAATAGCAAAAACACTGAATTCAGCATGTTCACTATAACAATCAGTGCTTTTGATGCCTTCATAGACGCTCAGGAGGTTGAGAGGCTACTTGCTTGTTTCTTTACAGGTGCTCACTGCTCAGCTGATTATTTTATAGTTTGGATTCCTTGAGAGGTCATTGTTCTAACGGTTTGGAAAATTAGTTGAATCATCTACAAGGTCCCCTCCTCTCGAGTACAGAATTAAAACCAGGAGAAAAAGAAGTCACGTCAGGAATCCCTAATGCTCCAGGTGAGCTGAGCTGAGCTGCCTCGTACTTTAGCTCACCAGTTAACAAAGTATGTTAAATGTATCATGGATTAGCTCTTTCTGTAATAATGTTCTCCATATATTTTTATCATATGTTTTGCATTTTACTGTATATTGAAGGCCTTTTCAGGGACAGGCATTAGAAATAGCTAGGAACGCTGCGGTGCAGTGCAAATGAAAACTGTTGTTCAGTTCTCCATGTATATACTGCATCTGTCCCTTTATTCATCTATAGCTCTAAAAATCAGGCCAAGAATGTACAGTAAAGGAAAAAATCTATATAGTGTATAAATCACTTTGCAGTCAAGATAAATTTAGAGTAGATTTCGGTGCTTTAAGAATCTGTGTGGATTTTACTGACAATAACTTCAAAGTCAAAAGTAGTTGTTAAGATGTCTTATCAAGAACAAGGCTGTTATATTATTGATCACAACTCTCCATTTAGATTTGTTTACTCAACTTAAATGTTTGACTCAATTAAGAAGATGCATGAAGCGGATGTATTCTAGACGAACAAGTCATATCAAGCTTGTAAATCGAGTTCTATGTGGATTTTGATATCATCTCCAAGACGCGTTAGAAGCTGCAGAGAGAATGTGAATGGAATTTGTGACGGACATAATCCTACATTTATAAATTCACCCACACACATAAACAGACAAAATCAACTACTGAAGACTTCCAGCCTAATAATTAATTTGCTGGGAGGAAAAAAAAAACATGCAGCATATGAGAACAGCAGAAAGTTAATGAAGTATTATTTGGCAGAGCCTTTTTCATATCCCCCTCCCCTTCCTTAAACGATTCAGCTATGATGAAGTGGACAAAACACATTTAAATATATTTTAGACTAACTGATGTCTCGATAATAACCAGACACAATTAAAAGACTCTTCAGCAAGTAAAGAATATAATGAGGACAAAGACCCTGTTGTGATAGGAAGTGAGATTCAGACACCACCTCACTACGCAACGTGCACGTCACCAGACTCCTGCGTAGCTGTCAAACACGGGAAGTTGAGGGACGACTTTGCCTTCTTCAGCAACTTGTCACATGAAATGAGCTTATCTATCAGCTGTTCATTTTAATTTTGCATGAGCTGAACATCGTCTAAACGCTTGTTAAGTCAGCAGCAGCCGAATACAGGGGGGAGAACCAGAAAGCTGCTGTGCGCGTCAGTGGAGAAAAGCACCTCTAGTGCGACCTCTGTCCATTCAAAATGTCAAACCTGACTGCAGAAGGTTACTCTCACGTGTCGCAAACACTGCTGTTTATCTGTTTAGTTGTGTGTTTACATGACAAGACACGAAGCCAGCGCTAAGCTTCCACATGGACTCATTTTTGGCAGCGAAATGCGCACAAAAAACCGCCGTTTTACTTGCGTTTTACCTCCTCTTGAAGTCCTTCTCGTAGGTTTTTAGGTGAGGATCCATTTGGAGTAGGCAGCTGAACTCAGGAATTGCAACATTATCCTCCGGGTCTGCCATGGTTCATCCAGACCAAGCCAATCGAACACGGACTTGCTGCTGACAGTGACAGAGGCAGAGGACGGTCATGTAGAGTACGAGATTTTTTTGGTTGTTTTTTTTTTAATACCCGGAGACATCAGTGAGTAAGTCGGCTTTCTGCCAAGCCCATCCCACCCCCCCCAAAATGCTGTTTTAGCGGGTCAGATATATGAGCACCGTGCATGCTGTGATGTGATGCGGACATTGTTACTTTAAGATGACAGCACAGGGAGCACATGGCGCGTCAGAGGAAGAGGACTCTTATTTGTAGGCTGCGGGTTTGTGTGGCTTTTGTTGCTATAAAAAGGTTATCCACCTTGTAAAAAAAAAATATGGAATTCAGATATTATATGCAATCAAAATATTATCTGAATAGAAACTACACTTTTTTTTTTCTGTTAGATACCAATAGCTTTTTCTCTACAGATGATTGAATGGTCTGATTTTGCAACTGACCCTACCCTGAGGAAACTTGCAACACTCACCAGGTACAGTTCTAACATGTACAAATATAGACTTGATAACAGTTTTATTAACTGTTTTTGTGTTTCAATTATAGTTGTTATCTAAATTGATGCAGTGTTCACAATGAAATATTAATGTGTACAACCTCAAGTCAATAGCATATACAGATTTAACAGATGCGGTTCAATCCCTAAACAAGTTAAGGCGAGACAGGAAGAGCAGAATGATTTGTAATTTAATAAACTTTAAATTTATTAGATTTTTTTTTTTCTAGATACATGTTGAGGAAAGTTCCAGCAACTAGTTGAACTCAAAATTAGCCTTGAGGATTCATTACTTAGGTTCACAAATGTAACATTTTGTTAACATTCACTACCATATTTCCATATAAGCTTTCGATGATTCTATGACTTTACTTCTACACCACCTGTATCAATGCAAACAAACAGGCATTCATGACCCCCAGAAGATAATCCCAACACAATATTTTGCAGGCCAGTGTCAGGTCATTATTCTGTAACTGTTTTAGGTGTAACCTAAATGTTGAGGGCTGAAGCTCATTGACATCAAAAGTTGAGTTGAGGCATGGCAATGAAGGCAGCGAGATAATTCCACTTTAAGGTTTTTATTAGCTCAGGTTTTTTCCTTAATTTGTCAAGTGGTTTTTCCTGTTCCAGAGACAAAATATGACAAATAATGATTAGCCTCGTTAACAAAATAATGTTCAATAATTCCAAACAGGCTCAGTAAACAGAGGATGTGTAAATTAAACAATAAATCAAGTCTGCCTATATGCATCATGAACAAACATAATCACTAAACTCGTTTACTCAAACAATATCTCACATGTGGACGCACTCAGCAAAGAAAGGTGGAGCAGGTGTCGTCCTTTGGAGAGCAAACTCAGCAATGACCTCTCCTTCCCTTCATGGGAGACCTGATTTGGGGATCTCATTCACCTGTGGCTGATTGCTGCAGCCAGCACAGGTGATTATTGTTGCTCCTAATTGAGCTCAGGGAATCAAGGCAGACATGACAGCTCAACAATAACACGAAAACCTTGGACCCAGAAGAGAATAAACTCAAATACTGTGACAATTTGCTGGGCGGGGGAATGCAGTCTTTATTCTTGATGAACAGAGAATTACATTTTGAATGAGAGACTGCATCAAAGCATTCATTTAATGCGATTCTATACATGCTAACCGTAGCGTTAAGAGTGATTCGATGTTCTGTTCCGATCCTCCAAATGTCCAAAAGACAAAAAAAATTGTTTTGTGTCAGTTTGCACAATTATTGCCCTTTTCCTCTTTGAATGGATGGGTAGCATCCTAATTATTTTAGATAATGTATGTATCATTTGTTGAGCTAATTCTTATGTTAAGATAACTTACTGTAGGCACAAATTGTCCCAGGTTTCCCAGTCAACTCAACCCGCCATATTCATGGTCCTTTGATGAGAACTGTTTTGATGTATTCTACTATTTTTGTGTGTGCAACACTCAAGCTACAATTGTCTCTTAAAAAATTATATAAAACTGATTCCATTGTTATGAAATTGGCTCCACAGAGGGCTTCCTTCTCATTTTGAAACAGCCAAAATGTCAATTACACACACAACTCTCCTCACAATCCATGTACCAGATTATAATTAAACAGACTGAGAATTCACTGTCCTCACGGGATGAACCCTGATCCGATTTAAATGATCCCTTGGCTCTTCATGTTGAGCCTCTCTCAGGACTTGTGAAGCCCATCTACTGTTCAGGTTTTAAAAAATAAAATAAAAATCATCACTTTGTTGTTTGTTCTGTCCTACTTTTTCATAATGTGAGCTGTAATGAACAGTGCAGCCTCTCGGGGCCACTACTGAAGCTTTGGACCTTTAGTCTGGTTGTTGCTATAATGAGTTGCTGCTATTATTCTCGTGAAAGTAATTTATCTTTGACATTTTAGTCAATGCAAGTTGAAAATGAAACATGTGACTCTGTAAAAAAAAGTAGCCTCACAGATAAATGTGAATGTATTAGTGGGTATGTGGACAAACAGGCATGCATACATTTACTATTCTTCCTCTACAAAACATCATCACAGTGAATGTCTCTGGTTTAAGTAGAATACAGTTAAACAAACTGCGGTTTAATCCTTCATGAAAAGAGATAGACTTCATGGAACACGATTGTATTGATTTGGTCAAAGTTGAATTCAAAGTTTATTTAGTGTCAAGGCCTGTTGTCATGTAACTGGATAAAGCTGCCTGAAGCAATGAAAGAATCACCCAGGGTCAGAACAGCATGAGTCTGTGTTAGTGAGTGACAAGAGATTGAGAAGATCTGCTACATCATTGTAAAACTGTGAGTACGTGCTTTTGTCTGCTTCCACTTCACCTGTACATCATGTATCAACGTCTTTCTGAAAGTCAAAGCTCACGCTGTCTTGATGTTTTCGTCTGTGGCTTCAATAACTTTGACCACGAACTATACTTCACAGATATGGTAAAACTAACTCAATGGGCTCGAGAGGGATAACCTTGCAATAAATTAGATTAAATCCCTCTCGGAAAAGGCTAATAAATATGCATACTGAAAGGAGAAATAGTGCGGCTCTTGAAAGTGTTGTCCTTGTCACTAAATAAAACCATCCCAGATAAAGGTCACAAAGAGAATGTCGTTCTAAGGAGCCATCTGTTGGTTATAGATGAAACAAGTGTGTTACTGTCCACCCCAGAAGGTTATGCCAATAGATGTTGCCTGTGATTCACAGCTGAATTACTAATATTTACAGGAGTGTGTGGGAAGACACAGCACCCAATGACAAGAACTGACAAAAAATATTAGATTTTATGTGAAGGATGTAACCAGGGTGAGCTGAAGTAAATACTTGATTAATTTTATATGCAAGCAATTTTGGAAAAATGAGCAGCCAGTAGCATTTATATTAACAAGGCAATCTGTTTGATCCAGTTTAACGATTTCCTGGGCCGTAATGGATGACATAGAGACGTTGAACATGTAAAATCCTAACAGAAAGAGAGATATTTGTTTTCCCAGCAGAGGTCACAGACAGAACCATTATTTCTGGCAGGCTGTCCTGGAACGCAGTGCAGGTCGTATATCCTCGTTTCACCTGCTTTTAGCTGCAGGAAGAAGCAGACATAAGTCACCTGTTTAGAAGATTATCAATCTTTCCCCTAAAAGTAAAGATCACTCTCTGGAAGAGACCCTCAGCTTAAATATTTCCCCACCAAATATCACTGAAAAAGTACTTCAGCTCCACACCAGGGCCTAAATTCTCATTTTATAGAATTATTTATGTTTCACAAAGTCAATACAAGGCTAACTAACACTTCACTGATGATACATGTGCTTATAAACTAAACGGCTGCACAGTGACATCAACTAGAGGCTGACAGCAACTTTACTAAAGTCAAATACAACAATCTCTCTGTAGCTTACAACCAATTACACAAGAAGACAAAATATTGAAAACACTAGTAGCAACACAGTGCTACACAGATGGGTTATATAAGGACAGATTCCACATTTATCAGTTTTAAAGGAGGTCAGAGTGTCTGAACTTCATGTGAAAGCAGCACAGAGCTGCAATGGAAAAAAAACCAAGCAAAAATAATGACACCAGAAAAATATCACTGAGACAACTTGGATGGAAAAGACGGCATCATGTTAGAAAAGATAAGATAAGTGACTTTGGCTGATACGCTCCTGCAAGTAGTTGATCAGATTTTTGGTCCTTTTGTGGGTGATATTTTCTGCCCCACCTGAAGGTGCCCTGTTAAAATGGCTGGTAGGTAAACGTGTATCTTCTCTGGTTCAAGACAGACTCGTGCTGATATTAGCAGACTCCATGCTTTTGTATTCAATGAAAACATAATTATATATAACAAATGACAGCCTGTGACAGCATTACAGATTTCTGAACAATCTATGCGCCCTTTCCTCCTTTCCTCCTTTCCTCTCTTCCTCACCCACATTTCACCCCGACAAGATCCTGTTTCCCTTTCCCAAGACACCACAGTTACAACCCCAGACGGCTGTAATTTATTCATTCAGAAGAATTCAGATGATATTTATGAGGAAGTTTTCAGCATTCCCTCCCTGTGGTAATGAACTGTGTATGTCCCATCACAAAATCGTATTTTAGTTGGAATATGTTATGATACAATATGATGGATGCAAAACGCAACTGAAACGCCCGTCCAGACTGCCAGCGTGACTCTAATAGAAGCTGACACAAACAAGCTTCTCATTTCACTAAATTGATGTGAGTATACAAGCATGCTACACTGATATCATGTGTTAGGAAAAAATACAATTAGTCTTTGAATACCTGTAATTATTCATCAAAGTGTTATAATGCATCCAAGCTGAGAGAATTAATCCCAGAGTGTTCAGCCTCCGTACGACACCTCTAAGGAAACAGATTATAGCAGCTGGAGGCTAGAAGATTGAACAGGGCGGTCTGTGAATACTAAAACTGCAGCTCCAAATGTTTTCATAAGAAATAATCATATGATTAGACAGAGAGAGCAGAATAGCTGCAGCCATTTATTAAACAATTTATAACTCTGACAATCAAAGTGCTGCATTCATCTCAGCAGCAGCATGCCTTTGCAAATCAGAAGTTCTGACTTTGTTTACTTGATCCAAATAGTTTCAGCTCAATCACATGACTTTTTTTAACATTTGAAAGACGTCATTTTACATGTTTTTTGTTTTTTTTAAAGAATAATAATACAATTAGGGTTTTTGAAAGTGTTGAACTCATGGCAATTAAAAAAAGAAACTGCAACCCTTTGTTCCATATCTTTATTTGAAAAACTGAGTAAAAGGAATGATTGATTTATTTAAAAATAAAAAAAACACCATTCATGGATCCTTCTTGGACGATAACACTATTTACATACAAGAAATTCTCTAAATGTCTCTGCAAATGGGAAAATGAAAGTTTGATGTGGAAATAAAATGCTAAATTTGGTGCTGTAATTGAGAGGGTCGTGTCTGGAAAGTATAATAGGTACGAAAATGATTATCACAATAACATGAAGACAGAGAAGTTTGAAAATTGGACGACTAGGAGTTGAACTTTAAGACCTTGGTGTTTGTTGAGACATTTTTGAGAAATCAAAAAACATCAGAACATAAATCTGAAAAGGGGTAAAGAAATGTAAGAACCATGAGAAATGGATCATATTTACAAGTGTGATGGCCAAAAGGCAAAGCAAAAAAGATTGCATCAATTAAGTTTCTATACAGATGAGTATAGTGGACACCTCTGTCTGTCATTTGAATCTGTCTTTGCAGCCAATTTCATTCCCTGTCACAAGCAGAGTCTCTGAGGACAGCAGCTCTGATTCTGTGTGTGCAGTGCTTGATTAAGATGAAGTTGATGTATTTTTGGTCTGGGAACAACCGTTTTTATGTTATGAGTGTGTGTGTGTGTGTGTGTGTGTGTGTGTGTGTGTGTGTGTGTGTGTGTGTGTGTGTGTGTGTGTTTCTGTGTGTGGACGCTGCGTCACCGCTGTCTACGCAGGAAAGATATTTTCAGAGGAGCAGGTTTTCAAAACAACACACATCTTCGTCTTCCAGCTGTCAGACGGGAGGGGAGTCAGCTCTTGTGTTTGTGAATTAGAGAAAAAAAAATGGCAGATTTATTTGCATCAACACAAAATACATCAATCAAACTAAACAAAAGCATAAGGCATTGTCTTTTGGAGCTGCATCCGTCCAACAACATAATTAGTGAACGTTTTCTTTCTCTCAAATTGCTGCTGATTTCAGAGTGTGTGGAAGTGAATATTACCTAATTCCTCATCACACAATTAGCTTCAGACAGTTTTACAGGTTTACAGTCTATGAACACCTCAAAATATGCTTTGGCAGGAATCCCATTATGGAGTTATATAAATGAAGGTGCTCATTCCCTCTTATTGAAACCTCAGTACTAAAAAAAAAAGGAAATGTATGATAATTAAAAAATAATTAAATG